AGAAAGCACTTCAAGTTTCCGACGGCAGAATTAATCGGGTATTATCCAATAAGAAAGAAGGATTAGCTGCACCAGTAGATAAAAGGGACAAGGGACCAGCTATAAACAAAACTCCGGATGAAAAGATCAATAAAGTTAAACAATTTATTGAAAAATTCCCGGCATATGAGTCTCATTACACTCGACGTATTATGCCACATAGAAAGTTTTTAGCTCCAGATTTAAGTCTTGGAAAACTTTATGAACTTTTAACATTTTAAAAGTCCAATTAAAAATGTTATTTTATATATGTGCCTTCCTGTATAGTTTTCGATTAATTTAAATTCAATTATCGCCGCACGCAATATTCCAAAGAAAGGGAAATTTCTTGAAGTGGGAGTACAGTTAACCAAACGATTTCGCATTAGATTTTTAAATTTCATTTACGATTGCTCTCTCTTCATATCTGGTGGTGTTTGACTGTAAAAGTGGTAAGCATAAAAAAGTATAATGCCATTGTAAAATATCTCGGTAGAAATAATATTCAAACCTATTGTTAGTTATTAGATTTTTGATAGTAAAGTTAAATTTTTCTAAATATGTTTTTATGATTCATTCTGGTTGCTGGAACGGCATAATGTTTATAGTAATTAGTTTTTATTGTATCTTGATTCATTTTTTAAAAAAGTAGATGTTTCAAATTTAATTTATATCTCGTACAAGAGCCACGTGAAAAACAAAATCTATTTTTGTTTAGAAAACGAATGAATGCAGCTGTAAACTAAACACTATGAAGCTAAACGCTGGAAATTAAAGCTGGAAAATTGATCGAGGAAAACTAACTGGTAAAAGCCGACAGTTAAAACTCACAAAAAGTTACAAAGAAAAACGAGAACAAAGAAAAAGGTATGCTGTTCATGTTCTAGTAACCGAAATAGGCGTGGGTTCCCGATTTGCAGAAATTTCAACTACCTCCGAAAAAAGTTGCCAGAAAAAAGGCAGAAGTGTAACTACTAGTGGCTAATTTTATGTATGACGAGATTCAAAATTAATACCTGATAAACTTTAAATGATTTGTTTCTGAACAGTTTCTTTTTTATCTAAATAATAAATGTTTTAAAAGGTAGGTAGGTGCATTTTTAATAAAGTGAAAACAAAATATGACTTTTTTGTTATGAATATAATATTAAAAACAACACGAACAAATTTAAATTAAACACTGGAATAATTGTCTGAGAAAAGCTTTGTAAAACTGACAAATACAAACAAAGAGATAGAGATATTAATCTATTTCTCTCTAATTAGAATTCTCGACCATATTATCATGGCGACACAAACATTGTTTACTGTCCTCTCTTTACTACTTACTTACTCTGAGAATAAGCCGCCATTTTGCCAGAAATCTGTCAAAACATATATGCAACCAACAATGCATGGTAATATGAAATCCAGACAGTATGCAACCAACATTATGCGTTTCTGTTGAACAAATTGCATGCATTAAGCTCTTTTGTTAATAGGCCTTTTTTGATGATTAAAAAAAAAATTGTTTATGCATCAACTATTAACATTATTTTGTGAAATTGCATTATTACATATTCCTAATATAATTCACGAACATAAACGAAAACAATGCAAAACATTAAAATAGCATCGGCATTATCGGCATCGAAAGTTGACACTTTTAGTACGAGCACTGGCTTCCTGACATTTGACAAAATTTTCATAAGAAGATGTTTGCTTATAAAGAATTAAGTCGTTTTTCCTATCTTCAATAGTTTGGTCGCACTCCACATCCCACCAAGGAGGAGGAGGTCGTTTTTTGGCTTTAAAGGGTTTGTATTCTGGGATGGATTGGTGAGCTGCATTGTCAATGCAACTCATTAAAAAATTGTACTTTTCACTAGCAATTAAAGCATGAGGTAAATTATCATTTATGTATGTTTCCATTAATTGTGTGTATAAAGGCCAATTTGCTTTCTTTAAATTTTATTTACTTTTAGGGTAAATTATATTATTTTTTTCGGTATTTTCGATGTCTATTTTAATAACAAAGTGATTTGAACCTAATGTATCTACATCTACTGCTTAGTTTTTTTTATTAAATATTTGTGGTGAACAAAAGGAAATATCTATCATAGAAAGGCTCCCAGGACGAGTTTGACAAGTAGGTTCGCCATTATTCATTACTACTTAATCTAAATCATGTACAGTATTTAAAATTTGTTGACCTACAGAATCGTTTTTGGCAGAACCCCAAATAGAATTATGCGCATTCATATCGCCTCCAATATTGCAAGGGTGGTTAATTTGTGAGAATAACTTGTGCCAATCTTCAGTTTTAGTTTTGGTTTGTGGGCATCTGTATACTGAGAGAAAATTTAAATTGCTGTTATATTTTATTTTGATCCCACATGCGAGTAATACATTATTAAAATTTTTATTAATTTCCAGAACCTCGAATTTTTTTTTTTTTTTAATAAATATTGCGACTCCAGCATAGCCGTCGTCACGATATTCCCGTACCAAGTGATATCTGGGAAAATTATAGACAATATTTTGTTTAAACCAAGTTTCACTTATAAGTGCTATGTCAATATATTCATTTAACAAAAAAAGCATTAAACTATTTTTATTTGAAACTGCAAAGCGAGCATTCCATTGAATAATTTTTATTTTATCTTTTAAATCCATTGCTAATTTTTTTTAAGGGCTTCATCCAGTACCATATTTATATTTTTAGCAAGTGTGTCACTATCTATAAATTTAGCTTCTTCTATAGATGTAATATTTTTCAAAATTTCAGTAAAGTAATTGGCCAGTGAGTTTATAAGATTAGTTTTTTGTTGAACAAAGGTGTGGTAATTTTGTGGATATGGATTAGGTGGCAAGGGCTGAGAGGCCCAAATCTAAAAGGAATACTGGGTGTTGGTGTAGAGGATTGAGGAGTCGGAGCCTTCCTTTTTTTATTGTTATAATGTGTATTTTTACTGTTACCAGGCTATGTTTAACTGTGTGTTTGAAAGTGAGGTTTACTAGATGATGGTTGTGTTAAAAAAAATCTTTCAGAATTATTATTGGGAAGTTTTGGAAAATCAGCTTCCAGATTTGATAAAACTGAAAAGTTATTTCTACATGTGAGTCCAGAATATGAAGATTCACAATATTTTTTAGCCTCTAAGAAGGAAATTTTTTCTTCAATCATAATATTTTTAATTTTTTTTTGTTGTTGATAGTAGGGACAATTTTTAGAAATGGAAATGTGGTCTGTGCTTTTGCAATGTATACATAATATTTTCTGTTCAGAACATTGGTGATTGTTAGTCTTAACAGCACTACAATGTATGCATAATTCGTCAGTGCCTTTACACTGCTTGGAAATTTGACCGAATTTAAGGCATTTGTAACACTGCGTAATTCTACCAATAAATTGTTCAACTTGAAAATATACAAAATTAGCTGTTACAGAATTTGGTAAGATATTACCTTCAAAGGTAACTACGATAGTTTTTTTTGGTACATAGTCTATTTTTCCATCCCATTCAACCTTTCGATGCAACCTATTAATATCAAAAATACGAGAACTAGAGGTAATGTTTTCCTTTATATATATAATGTCATGTTTTCCTTTATATATATAATGTCGTATTTTGTATCAACGTCTCTAATTAAACCCTTAATTTCAAGTAGGTGATTAGGTATATACGCTTTTAAATTTTCTGTAATTAAATGAGTGTTTGTAACTAATTTATTAGCATCTAATACAGACTTAAATATAACTTTGATGCGGTTTCTACCGATACTTTTAATTTCTAAAATATTATTGATTTTTAATTTTTTATTTAATATGTGACCTACTGTCATAGGGTGCAATCGGCCTATATTCTGTTCATTATTGCTACTTTCAATATAAACACAACAATTGTGGAAATTGTACTTATCTGAATTAACATTAAACAGTTTTATCACTTTAGTTTTTTGGAGGTTGACATTCGTCGTATCCGAATCCAGGACCATTTCTTTATCTACATCGATAATTTCGTTACTAGCACTATTATTTAAATCACCCATAGGCATCCTGTGTTGTGCCTCCCCCATCGGGAGAAATATTGTTTTTAAAATAGCACAAAATATAAAAATTAATTAAAACTAGCGAAAGTAATGTGTCCCAAAAGGTCACATGATAACAAAACCGGTATAATTTCTCGCACTATTCTCTACGAGTGTTTATCAGATACTGTGACACATTCTACAATTATTCAATAAACAAACATTTATCTTTGGTGGCTGTTGGAGGACAACCAAAACGTGCCGTCTTAATTTTAAAATACTAGCACTAGACGTTTAGTGAGAAAGAGATAGAAGATCATGCAGCACGTCTTAGCATGGAAGTAGCAACGTCATTCAAAAAGCTATGTACAGACGGCGCCATTTTGTGCTGTTTTACGATTAAAAGTAAAAACATGAAAATTTTGAGTTGTGCCACTTTAATATTGAGTGTGCGAATATTTTTTGTTTAATTTTTCAACGACTTTTTTTAGTGATTTTTTTTTGAGGTGTAAGTTTTTTACTTTTTTAAAAATGCTATTCTTAAGAGGTAAAGAGGTTCCCTTGAACCCACAGAAAATCATCTTTTGGCGTCTTCGAGTCGTAACTCGAAAATTTCAGCCATCCCGTAGGATGGCTGAAATTTTCATCGAGTTTATAAAAATACTACAGATATGAAAAATCGTAAATATTGACCTATACTAGTTTAGGTGACGTAATCATATGTCTATCTCTCTCTTTAAAACAATACAAATCGGCAGAGAGGTTCATGCTTTCATAAAGTAAGGATCGTCTCTCACCAGCACCATGACAATTCGTTTATGTTATATAAAAATCACTTAAGTTCTTTTAGCAAAGATAGTACATAAAACAAAATGTGAAGTCCTAGTGCAGTATTAAACATGTAGGTAGTAGTTAAATAAAATAATGTAAATATGTGCAAAGTTAAAAATTTTCGTGCAGCGTTTGTGCACAATAAATTGTTTCATTAATCTAAGAAAATTAATGTATTTATGTACATGAAAATAAAAACAAATAATGTTCCTGGTATAATTAAAACTTTATTGATTATTGACCATACGGGATATGGTTCCGATTTTTTAGTGCTCATTTCTTTCGTCTCAATTTCAAAGTCAAACCACCGAGTCCTTCGACGACATTCCTAAAATAAAATAATAAAATATTAAATTGTGGATGAGTGTAGCCATATGTAGGTGGTTAATATTTAGTACGAAGGTGGAAAAAAAGGGTCCTTTATTTCTCAAAAAGTTAATTTATTGTCGACCCGTTTCGAAGTGATTATTTCAACATCAAACATACATAAATGGAAACTCATGGAGTCAATGTATTGAAATGTGATAACCTACCATCTATCAACTAGAAGGTAGGTATATGTTATCTAATGAAAATATTAACTGATGTTTACTGAAAGTAAATATATATGGCTTAAAGAAAATTAAAGAAATCTATTATTAAACGTTAATAAAAATGAAAATTATAAGTAGCAAATAATATCTAATAGGAAGAATAAACAAGAAAATATGATTATATTGTATCAAAATTGAACCTGGAAATCAAAAGAAAAATGATTTTGAAGCAAATGGAAACGATGTTGAAAGTTGGTTGACTTATTAGGAAGGAGAAGGAAGAAAGTTTAAAATATGTGCCAAGCTGGGAAAAATTCATTTTGAGAAAACGAAACACGTAGAGAAAAGGAACTATGAAATATAGTTATTTAAATTCGAAAAAACTTATAATAATGGTAAGTAAACGACTAATGATACTAGTGGAATAAAAATTATTATAATTCAGACGTAAAAGTTGAAGTACTGATAAATTGAATTTAAGCGCACAGCAAACATGTGGGACTAGATTTAATATTTTTTTTAAATTTCTAGTTTCTCGAAGTTATTTAATAGGAATTTATTGGAAGTCGTATGCAAAATTTCCAAACCTGTACCAAAATCGAAGTCTATCTAAAAGGTGTGAAGCGAAATGTAAGAAGATCGTGGTGTTAGTATTGAGACATCGGGTATGCTCCTTCAGACAAATTTTAAAATTATAAAAGAATCTACCGACCTATGAACATGGGCCAGTTAAACATATTAAATTATATACACCAGATTGGTCCATGATGTGTATCTTGTCTTTCTTTTTAACAGGTAAATTACTGATGTAGTTAGAAGTTTTGAATTTAATTCTGAAGGAATCTTTGAACAAGCTCGCTATGATTAAGTTTATTTTGATTTCTGTGAAGCATACTGTCGATCAGATTTTGATTAAAATTGTGGCTATTAACAATTTATTTAATAACATTAAGTTTTTTGTTAAAATTATCTAAAGACATTGGGAGTTTTAAAAGACTAAATAACATTGCAATGCAGTTAACTTATGTGAAGCTGGGTGATTAGATAAATTATCTAAAACAACATCTGTAAGCGTAGGTTTTCTAACGATATTAAATTTAAACTTCTGATCATTGGAATGAAAAATAGTCAAGTCAAGAAAGTTATACATTTGTTGTTTTCTATCTCTAAGGTGAATTTGATATATGTTTTTGATGTAAAAGTCCCAATGTCTTTAGAAAATTTTAACAAAGAGCTCAATATAATTAAACAAATTGCTAATAGCTACAATATATAAATTTATAAATTTTTCTAATAATGAATTTTTCCTAACTTGGCACATATTTTCCCTTTTCTATTATGTCAACCATCTTTTAACATCATTTCCGTTTCCTACAAAATAATTTTTCTTTTGATTGCTGGGTTCAATTTCGATACAATACAGAGTTGCTAAAAGGTCTGGAATAAAATTATTATCTGTTCAACCAGTAACTTAAAAAAAATCTGATGTGTCCGACACATGACTTCTATCTAGTTATTATATGCTTTTTCCGGTTATTTTGTACAATCTATTGCAGCACCTCCATGAATTTTTAGAGGATAAACTAAATATATACATTTTCCACATACATCTAACTCGAAACATTTATCTATAGATATTCATTGAAAACGAAAATACTGAAAAATTTAAATTTAGCACTTTTCCTCGAAGTTTTCCATTTACGGTCCATTTTAGAAAAATCATGCAAAAAACAAAAATTATAGCGATCGATATCGCAAACAACTTTTAGTTTGACAATTTTCGTAAAAATCAAAATTTTGCACATTTTGTCAAATTTCTCGAATACAGACCATTTCAGGAAAATTTGACATAAAACAAAAATTATAGATAATAATATTCGAGATAACTTCTATTTAATCAATTTTCTTCTCCAAACATAAATAACAGATATATTCCATAAAATATAAAAACGAACTCTTATAAAGTACACCCCTAGATGTTTCGACTTTTTCTAAAATCTAATCACTTCACCTCAGGCCGAAATAAAACAAGTTTAAAATTTAATGTTTTTTCCTTTATCCGTTTTTAATTTTCTTCAAAATTTACACATTTTCCCAAATATCTCGAATATGGTCCATTTTAGAGAAATTATGTATAGAATAAAAGTTATATATAAAAATATTATAAGTAACTTTTATTTGACGCATTTTCTTCTCCAAACGGAAATAACAGATATATTCCATAAAATATAAAAATGACGACACATAATGTACCCCCTTAGATATTTCGACTCTACCCAAAATCTATTCAGTTTACTGGAGGCCAAAATAAAAATTTAGTTTAAAATTTTGTGTTTTTCAGACACACAGACACACACACACAGACACACACACACACACACACACACACACACACACACACACACACACACACACACACACACACACACACACACACACACACACACACACACACACACACACACACACACACACACACACACACACAGACATCATCGCGAAAATAGTCCAAATGGATTCAGGGGACCCCAAAACGTAAAAAACCGTCGAAAACTCGAGGTCGAAAACAATTATCATTCCTATACTTTCCTTATCTGTATAAGGATAGGAAAGTAAAAAACGCTGAAATACGTAAATTGAGTTTACATTGGATGTATTTGTTGCTAATAAAATGAAATTTTTTTTCTTCGACCCCTTAACTGCAACCCTAGCCAACTTTTTATTGTCGTGTGTAGGGTAATTGAAAAGCTCGTGAAAAATGGAATCTCATGATTCTCTTTTTCTTTTCTTCTACTTATGTGGTTATTGCAGACTCTCAAGCGATGGTAAAACCCGTCTATGAAATTCAAAAAGGCCTCAGCCGGTATTTTATTTGATTCCACTCTAATTGTGTTTTTTAGATCTTCAATATTATTCTGTCTATTTTGATAATCCTTGTCTTTCAGATATCCCCAAAGAAAATAATCTAATAGCATTAAGTCAGGGGATCTTGGTGGCCTTTCAATTGTACCACATCGTCCAATCCAGCGTCCTGCAAATATTTTATCGATAATTTCTCTGACATTAATATCAAACTATGGAAAAGCGCCGTCCTGGAGATATCTGGATCTACTTAGTTGGGAAATATAAGAGCTAGAGCAGGTACTAATTCAAATCTTAAAAAGTCTAAGTAGCGTTCAGCTGTAAGGTTTTCCTCAAAAAAGTATGGACTTAATATTCTGTTTTTGATGATACCTGCCCATACATTTACTTTCTGAGAACGCTGCATATGAGCTGTACATATTATCTACTCCATTAAAATAAAAAGTAGCTTCATCCGAAAAGAATATATTCGGTGGAAACCCATTATTCTCGTCATATTGCCTTATCATTTTCTCACAAAATTGCATATGCCTTTCATAGTCATCTTCTAAAAGCCCTTGGACAAGATATATCTTATCTGGGTGGTATTTTTCTATTTTCAAAAACCTCGTCTAGACACAGCATGATTTTGGGTCAGTGAAATCGTTGACAAATGTCGATCTTCCTGCAGAAATAAGGCAATGTCTAATTTTTTAACTTCGTTTACAATATGTGGCCGGCCACTTCTGGGCAAGTTCTTCACTGTACCATGGTATTCAAATTTGTGAAAGGTCTTACTAACAGTACCCTGTGAATTGTGATTTTGTATTAAATAAAGTACATACTTCACTTTGACTTCGCATTCTATCCTCACATCCCAACAATATCAAGATTTCGATACGCTGTTTCTCTGACAATACCATTTTTGTTTAATAAATTAAAAGAGAAAACTTTCAAGATATACAAATTATTAAACTAGACGGTTCAATTCAATTGTACACAGAAGTGCTAAAAACTGAGCCATAGTAGTCAAAAAACAATACAAAAATGCAACAACTTTTTTTCTTTTTAACACGCTTATATTAGCTTCACCTGTATGTATGTTTGTAACTCTCCTTTGGACTCAAGTGGCTTATTACTGTCAGTATATCCCACTAAGTCAAGTTCCTTTGTTGGCCGAGCGGTCTAAGGCGCGGGTTTTCGATTGCCAGACTCACCGATCGTGGGTTCTAATCCCGACGGCTAAAAAAAATAATTTTTTTTTTTCAGCAATTACAACTTACAATTTTTTTTTAATAATGAACTAAAAAGTAAAAAATAAATATAGTTTAAAAAAACTAAAAAACACGCTTTTAGAGCATATTAAACTAAAAAGTTAAAAATAATTTTTTTTAACACGCTTTTATTCAAATAAGCTTAAAACAATAATAAATGGAAAATACTAGTATTATTGTGAAAAAATCGTGGGGCGCTTTGTCCATATTTCTCGTACATCGAGTGCCCGACGCTTTTTTCACAATAATACTAGTATTTTCTATTTATTATGATTTTAAGCTTATTTGAAAAATTATTTTTAACTTTTTAGTTTGATATGCTCTAAAAGCGTGTTTTTAAGTTTTTTTTAAACTATATTTTATTGAAGTATACTACTGAACAATTGCCTGGGATTGAACTAAGTTCCAGTTTTTTTTTTTGAAAACAAATTCCAACGAATATTTATGCTAGGTTGCGTTATCAGGTTATCAGTTTTAAACATGGTAAATCAATAAAATTTGGTGTTCTGACTGCCCAGGCTCGCCTGTATTTATTAAAAACATTCAGAATTAAAGATATTTGGTTTTACCATGGCCTGGGATGCTGCCAAGTAGAGGGTGAAGTACATTTTCAACATCTGCTACGTTAATTTAGTCGTCGATAGCATTAAAAAAGTGTTTGTAACTTTTTTGTTAATAGAAGATTTTTTTTATTTACTTATAACCACATAAGTAAAAGAAAAAAAGGGTATGGTGAGATTCAATTTTTCACGAGCTTCTTAGTGACTCTACACGCGACATACCTTCGCATTTGAAATAAAATTGAATAGGGTTGCAGCTAAGGGAATAAAGAAAAATATTTCATTTTATTGGCAACAAATTCGTCCAATGTAAAATCAATTAATGTGTTTTTCAGCGTTTTTTTTTAAGTTACTGGTTAAACAGATAATACTTTTATTCCAGATTTTTGCGCAACTCTGTAATAATATTTAAGCACCAAATTAACGCAAAATAAATCCCACATGAAGCAATTTTTATTTAAAAAATTATAACAACCGGTTTCGGCCTTAGGCCATCATCAAGTCTACAAAGAAGAAACAATAGTATGTTTGTAAGTTAGTAAAATTACATACCTAAAAATATACTGAGTGTCCCAAAAAAGTAGTAAAATCCATTAAACATAGATTCCTTAGATCAGTATAAGAAACCACAATTATTAATTTTCTCGATAGAAGCCAACATGTTCATTTTCAATATACAGGTTGACTAGCGCCCTCTATGAGGTAGGTGATTTTGATTCAAATTAGGATTTTTCATCCCGAAAAATTCCGATGTACCAATTTAAACCATCTACTTAATAAAATTACCAAAATATAATAAAAACCGTATTTTTTTTTAATAACTTTGTGACCCTGTATACTGAACATGATGGCCTCAATCAAAAAAATTAAAATAATAATATCAATAGGGGTTTCTTTCGCTGGCCTATAGTTAATAACTGACCTACTTTTTTGGGACACCGTGTATAGTACAATGATATTAGAAAGTAAGACCTTTTCAAGTACATGAAACAAAGTAGTTAAGTAGCTGCTACCAATAAAACCTCAAGAGACAGAAACCAAATTATAAAAAAAATGTGGGAAAAGGGTACAAGAACTTAAAACTAGCTAAAGTGAAGAATTATTATTAATTGAGAGTAGTGAAAATTATGTAAAAACTGCTTTGTAGGTGGTAGATATCATCCTAAATTATCCACATATTAGTAGCTCTGCAGCTAGTAAGTAATCCGATTGACGGGATACAATTCCCACAAAGAAAAGTGAGTAAATCGATGACAATTCTGTGTGTGTCAGTGGAGATTCATTGTCTTTTTTTCTAAATTTAGAAAGGATAAGACGAATTAATATCAATCAAGGTAATCTGCTGAAAAAGTCAATCTTTTCGATTTTTTAACACCATTAGATTAAATATGGTAAGTGCAAAATTTAATTTTTTTTTTCATGCAATGATCACATGGATTACCCTAAATTTATCTATTTAACTTTTTGAAGTTATGATTTTTGGTGAGACGACATGCTTTAAATATATTAATTTTTGTACAGAAAGATATAATATTTAATTATTCAAATCGTTCGTCTCATCCCTCGTACCTATTCGATTTTTCCATTAAAAGGTCGAAATGCTATAGCTTCGCAACATTTGGATGGTGTTTATACTCGATAACATGACGAATGATTTGGATGATCTTTCCTTGGCATTATGAAGAATAATGGACGTCTAGCAGGGTAAACCATTTGGATAATAATTAACGTCTTAGGAACCTATAAAAGGATAAGTGGCTGTTTGGAGACTACACTTGTTAACTGATTTGGAAATTAGAGAAAACAACAGACGAGACCTTTTATCGTAGATGATACCTCTTTTACCCCTTGATGAAGCCCTACCTCATTGAGATAAGTCATTTTTATTTATACCAAGTACTCTTCAGAAATGTATAACTTTAAAAGTCATTTTATTATTAGAAACTCTTGTTGATTAGAATTTGGTTTTTACCGTATCTGAAGTCATATTCTTTATTTGAATTAAAATTTATTAGTAGTTTTTGTTTCCTTATTTTTGTCATTTACTTAGAAATATGCGAATTCAAATACGATGATTTCCAACTTTAATTTTAGGGTAATTTAGTTATTATATCCTAGAGCATAATCCATGACCCTTATTAATGAGCATTAATCACTTAAATTGTAAGATCAACAACAGTTGTTACAGACCATCTATATTTACTTTCAGTAATTATTAAGTAAATATCTTCACTAGATTATAGATAACTACCTTCTAGTTGTTAACCTATTTGATATTTAGTAGTTTATTGGATTTACTATCTTATCTCTATAAAAACTTAAATTCTTAATTTCTACTCCATTTTTAATTTGTCCAGTCTTGATTTTATAAAAAAATTAATATCTTTGTTCGTAACCCTGCATAGTTATTGTTTTATTTAAATTAGTGTTTTTGGTGCAACCTTATCTAGGCAACTCTAGTTTGGTTTGTTTTTTTTTTCAACCTAAAAATAAAAATATCCGTGACTTATAATCATATATATTCACATTGACTTTTTGACTCTTTATATATTAAAATTATTTTTAAATTAGTTATTTTGTCTTAATAACCTAAAATATTTTTTTATATCTGTAGATTTTCGTTAGTGGGTCGTAGAAAAAATAGACTGTAGAACTCGAGTGAATTGTCCGTACCCACTCTTGTTGCACAAACTACTGTTGTTAATTTTGTACTTATTAAAATCATTTTCAATCAATTGTGTGCATCTAACATGTTAATATATGTAGTGTGGATGGTGATATTTGTAGATTATTTGAATAAAAGTTTTTTAATAAAATAACAATTAATATTTCTTACACTGCAAAGTCTGATTTCCTCATATTTCCGGCTTGTGCTTTATTTTCATCTGTTACTATTGGTTGGTCTCTTTTTACTGATTTTTGAACAGTTAACGTAGGAACGATTCCTGTTGCTATCGGTTGGTCCCTTTTAACTGCTTCTTGAACTGTTATCGTAGGAACGATTCCTGTTGCTATAGGTTGGTCCCTTTTTACTGCTTCTTGAACTGTTATCGTAGGAACGATTCCTGTTGCTATAGGTTGGTCCCTTTTTACTGCTTCTTGAACTGTTATCGTAGGAACGATTCCTGTTGCTATCGGTTGGTCCCTTTTTACTGCTTCTTGAACTGTTATCGTAGGAACGATTCCTGTTGCTATAGGTTGGTCTCTATTTACTGCTTCCTGAACTACTATCTTTGGAATGATTCCTGTGATTATTTGTGTATCTTGTGGTTTACCAACTTCGGTAATTGCAGTAAGAGCTTGTTCTGCTAAATATTTGGGATTCAAATAATTTTTATTTATTGTATGTTGTTTAATTAGAAAAAAAAAATAAAGCATTGAAGGATTTTAAAAAAAGCGTAGTTCTGATAAAAAAAACAGTGAAATATAGTATATTACATTACGAGTGTGGAAAGTGACATTTTTCACATGAGTGGGAAATATTGTCGCACGAGGCACAAGCCGAGTGCGACTAAAAAAATTAAAAAAGACAAAAAAAAATCTGGCCCCGCCAGGATTTGAACGCGGTCGCTCACCAGGTCTCAAATGGTAAAGTTGATAAATTTTACGCTCTTACCATCTGAGCTAATAGACCTTGCGTCAATTGAATGATCTAATCGGTTATGTGTTTAACCAGAATAAAGAGCAAACATATCTTAGTTATTTTAAAATTATTTTAATAATAATTGTTAAAGATAAATATCTAGGATCTAATTTACAACAATTTCAATAATTTAACAATCATAACGATTTTAGTATTAGGTAATATGTACATTACATAGATCAAAATAGAAATGATGTGTTTGACATTTTGTGGCAGCTGCTGCGGAAAGTAGCATACTCGTACACGGGTGGAAAGTAAATTTTTATTTATACGCGTGTGATATAGGGCACTTTCCATAGGACTATATAGTGTGATATGTGTCACGTTCCTAAGTGGTTGTAGGAAAAAGATATTATTCACTATATTATACTTCTAAAATGGTTTTTTAATGACATAATGAAAATTGCTTTTTGTATTTCCTTTAATTTGACAGCTATCTAAGGTAAAATAATATTGAGTTTTGATTTTTAGTCAGGACGACTAGCTCTTCAGAAATTTGCGCAAAGTAGTTATTCTATAATATAAAATAAAATCTTGTTTAAAGAAGTAATAAGCGTTTCTTAAATAACTTCCAATACTTAGACAATAAATCAATAGTATACGTGTTGATGTTGATGACACATTAGTAATTGTTAAAATATGGAATATACAGTAGAGGAACTAAAAATAAAGGAAAGCGAATTATTGTAAAACATGCTCCTCACCTGCAGGTATTTTGATCCGTGGTATGAGAGATTCTGCTACACCTACAATGTCCGATATGCCAGCATTAATATCTGCAAAACCTAGGCTAAATCGTCCCATCACAACAACAATTGAAAGCTTAAAAATAAAATAAAAATAATAGTAAATATAAGAAATATGTTACAGAATAATATAAGCAACCGCTTCAATTCAGAAAATTATTACTCCTCTGGCTATGTGCCACGACAGGTTCGATGAAAGACATGAAAATAAGAGAGATAAATAACTTTTTAAATCCCATTTAAAATAAACTCTAAGTTATAACAATCAAGCAAACTTAGATATATCTGCAAGATAAAATTATTGCAAAAGAATGGATACTTTATTAATGTAGTCTTTTAAGCAAACTAATACAGCAGCAAAAAATACATGTCCCGTGCTACGCGTCCAAGTGAGAATAAGACCAAGACTAGTGAAGGGCAAAACCAAGGAACTGTCTATCTATCGTACGTAGAAGGTGTTACGGACCAAATTGGCAAAATCCTAAAGAAAAAGAAAATCGACACTGTCTACGACCCAACAAAGAAAATAGGGAAGTACCTCAAAACAGCAAAAGATCGCAAAGACTCTCTCACATCAGCAGGAGTCTACAAAATTCCGTGTGCTTGTGAAAAAGTATACAAAGGACAAATATATAAAAGCACTGGTACGCGACTAACAGAACACAAAAGAAGTTGTTGTTTAGGACAAACCGAAAAGTCGCCAAACACACATTATCCAAAGGAGAACAAAAGATCCTTTTCTAAAACACCTACCTACTAGCAATATCAAGACATTAGTTGACCAGACTACACTTGGAGGCAATAGAAATACAGAGACATGAAAAGAACTTCAATAGAAAGAAAGAAAAACAACATTACTCAGGATCTTGCACACATCTATAAAAAGCGAGAAAATTAAACTTATATCAGTACCGCCAAAAAGGACGCACAAACACGCCTAACAATACCACACTCGGAGTAAATGAGGATTCAGTTTCAGTTGAGACGTCGAGAAGAGTACTTCGTCCAAGCCACTGAAGATGGCTACCACAGAAAGACCACGGCATAACAACCCGAACACAAACAATTACAATGGCGCCGGCCGTGAAACCCTACATTCTTACATTAGTCGACTCTACGGGGAGGAAACTTACCAGTCAGTCAGAAGACTAGAATTCTCACGCAAGAAGAAAGCTCAAATGTTAAGTTCTTTAACATTTTTACTAGTTTTCAAAACACAGAAACTACATCAAAGTTTCTACGATCAAAAAGAAACATCAAAACACCACATGCCCATCAAATTTTTGCTAGGATGGAGGAAGATTACTAAGGTAGATAATCCATCAAACACGAATGGATAAACTATGATGAAATACTGCTTTAACTACATTTAAAGCTGTCATCTACTAGAATAAAAAGATTGGAAAAAAATCGACATAATAACACTCAGTAGAAGGGAATTAACCATGCATGTATCCAGTGAAAGACAAGAGAAAATTCAACAGAATCCAAACAAAACAACTCTAGACATCAAAGACAAATTTGAAACAGACTGTAATCAGTCTTTCATATCGGCTACTCACGGATGATGAAACAAGCTTAAGAACCAATAAAGAAGTCGGAATTTAAAAACTACCACCTGATCTCAAAGAAGAATTACGCATTGAATCTGCAAGAATTCTACAGAAATCCAAACAACCAAAAAGCAATATTTTAAAAGGGGAGAAGGCAGCTATAAGAAGTCTCAGTGAGGATGAAAATATTATAACTCTACCCGCCGACAAAGGAAATGCAACAGTCGTAATAAACACATCGTACTACAGGAGCAAGCTGCATGATCAAGACATATGCAGGAAATTGTCAAAAGATCCAACACAGAAAATTTTATGAAAAACCACCAAATTTGTGGTGTTAACCCAACTAAATAATATTCGATTTGTAAGATTTATATTTAATATGACAATCTCAGAATGGCATTACATACATAATATTATATACTTAAAAATATAAACGGAAAAACTATAGTAACCTTAATAATAATACACCACACACTTCTCCCCTAGAAGAGTATCAATACCACCATCATTCAGGTGGTTTTCTAATACTTGTAGGTCTGACACTAGTAGTGAGGTTAGCACCGTGACCCTTTATTATGTCCAATTGTGTTAGTACAGAGCTAGCTACTAGATAAGGTTGACAATCTTTTTCACTGGAGAAATATTTTTTGTCATGTTCAAAATCCTTGTCATAACAATATCGAATTTGATTAAAACGCCTTTTCCAAAGAAAATTACTGTTACATACTCTAGCTAAACATATCTTCCTACCCACAATACTTTCAATTACAGCTTTACACCAAGACGACTTTGCACCCCTATAATCTCTAATTAACACAATCTGACCAATATAAAAAATATTCTCCCTTGACCCTCTGTAATTTCTGGTATTGGTTTTGTTAGCTAAAGTGAGATTTTTTCTAACCTCTCTTCTACTACTGACCTTAAAATTATTTTCAGTTGGTCGAATTAAATTCAACCTGCTCCTTAAAGTTAGGTCTGCCTAAAAATAACTTTGCATGTGTATCTCAAGAAGAACAATGTGGTGTATTTCTTTAATTTATAAAAAAATTATACAAAGATACAATAACATTAGTCAACTGGTTGTCGGAAATTTCTTTTAATCAAAATGTTTTTACGGTTTTAACGCTATTTTCCGCAGTTCCATTTGAAGCTGGGTTATAACATGGTGTTATGTGTTTCACGCCGTGACACCTTATATAATTTTCAAATTCTTCCGAAACCAATTATGGATCGTTATCAGATACTAAGATGCATGGGATTTCGAATCGACTGAAAAGTCCCCGCAAAAACTCAATGGTCGCCAATGAAGTGATATTGTTCTTTGCAAAAACTTCCAGTCACTTAGAAAAAGCATCGGTGATTACTAAAAATATTTACTCTTTAACGGCCCCAAAAAATGTATATGTATACGTTGCCATACATCAGTCGGTACCGGCCATGTTTGAAGTGGTATTTTTTTGTGGTGTATTACGTAATTTCTGACAGTTCATACATTGACTGACAATTCTTTTAACATCCTTATTTAAAGATAGCCACCAAACATATGATCTCGCTAAAGATTTCATCCTTACAATACCCAGGTGACTACTATGCAATTTATTAAGTATGTTCTCGCGCAACTTTGGTGGAACAATAACTCTATGACCCCACAATAAAACATTGTCAATAACATCAAATTCATATCTACGACTAAAATATGGTTTAATTTCTTTTGTTGAATTTGATGGCCAACCTGTTTTAACATAACGTAACACCTCAAAATAAAAAAAAATTATCACTCTCCTTTCCCGTTGAATTAACGGGTAAACGTGAGAGAAAATCTGCTATGTTCCCTAAAGCTTTAACACATTTTATGCTGAAATTAAAACTGGTAAGGAAATATGCATACCTTTGTAGACGATTAGCTGCCATGATAGAAATGCCCTTTATGGTACAAAAATACTGACCAGAGGTTGAGTATTCGAAAGGAGCATAAAAGATCTGCCCTCCAAATATGGATAAAAATGCTTTACACCGAAAGCTTCTCTATCTAGTTATGAATATCTTTTTTTCACTCTCTGTCAACGTTCGTGATGTAAAACATACTGGTCTTTCAACTCCATCATTCCCCTTTTGGGAAAGCACTGATCCTAAACCATAATCACTACTATCTACTGCTAAAATTGTGAGTAACTCTAGATCAAAATACGATAAAAAAGAATCCGATATCAGAACGTTTTTAATTTGATCAAAAGCTTTTTGACACTCCAAATTATTTACTTTTTAAAAGTTAATACAATGGAGCTACAACGTTCGGCATACTAGGTATGAATCTATTATAATATGAAATCATACCAAAAAAAGATTTTAACTGTTTCACATTGCTTGGAACAAAAATCTTTTTAATAGCTTGCTCTTAACGGGGTGGGTGGCTCAGTGGTAGAGTCTCTGCCTGCGGATCCAAGGGTCCAGGTTCAAATCCCACCGTTGGCCGGGATTTTTTTATTTAATTTAATTATTTAAAATTAATTTTGATGCCTTGGTAGGATTCCCCACTCGACCATTCACTGTTGGGTAATAATTAATAGTGCTGCTTCTAAAGTGGCGCTCGGAAACAGTAACAAAGCCTACACAGAACACGAGGCTATTAACCGTAGAAGTTGATGCCGATGACACCAAAAGAAAAATAGCTTGCACTTATCTGGACATTTATGTATACCATCTTTATCTAAAATCAATCCTAAATAAGAAATAGTATTGGAAAATAATTTACACTTCTCTTTCTTAATTGTCAACCCACAATCTTGCAATATTTCAAAAACTTTTTTTAAATTTTCAATATGTTTTTATCTATTTTTCCCTGTTATTATAATATCATCCAAAAAACAAGCTGCTTCCTGTAGATTCACAAATAACTGTTCCATAATTCGCTTGAACTGAGATAGAGCACTTGCGAGACCAAAAGGCAAACAGTTATATCTTAATATCCCTTATGAGTAAATATCGTTGTCAAGTCGCGCGAATCCACAAGCAAAAGAATTTGTTGATAAGCGTGTGATAAGTATTTTTTTTTTAAATGGATCTTCCCCTCCCAGTTCTGCAAGTAACTCTTCAACTCTTGGTAAGGGATATTTGTCAATAACTAAATTTGTATTAGCTGTAAACTTATAATCCCCACATAATCTTACAGACTTATCCTTTTATAAAATCGGAACCACCGGTGTTGCCCACTAAACATTATTCAAATTGTAAGATTTATATTTATTTCAACAATCTCAGAATGATATTACATACATATTATACACTCAAAAATCTAAACAGAAAAACTGTGGTAACCTAAATAATAATGCACTACAAAATCTGCATCACTAAAGCTCTACCACCAAGAATATATAATTTACCAAAAATTTACAAAAATAATGTATCACTAAGAACAATATCAAGTGCTATAGGATCACCAACTTACAACCTGGACAAACATTTGGCGGAAATTCTGCAAACCTACGTGTGCAAGAGAAAAACCTAAGTGCGAGGCTTTACGCACTTCATCGAACACTAAAAGAGTATCAGCTTAGAGCCTAATGACATCCTAGTCATTTCTTTATTTACAAATGTGCCACTCGAAAAAGTAGTCAGCTACATAGTGGAGTTTTTTCAAGAGCTCATCCATCTTTTTTGGCCCACAACATCATATTTTCAGTGGAATAAAACATTCTATGAACAAATTGACAGAGTCGCCATGGGCAGTCCACTAAGCCCAGTTGTTGGCAATTTTTACATGGTAAATTTTTAAAATAGAGAACTATTAGCACTGCTGAAAAACAACCGAAACATTGGCTAAGGTATGTTGATGACACATTTGTAATCTGAAGCCACGGGTAAAAAGACCTCCAGATTTTCCCAAAACATCTGAAAAGTTTTCATCCCAAGATCCAGTTAACCATAGAAATAGAAGAAAACCGACAAATTCCTATTCTAGATATGCTAGTTAGCGTAGCAAACAATAAACTAAGCAACAGAGTATACAGAAAGAGGACATATACTAATCGATACCTACAATATAAATCCAAGCATTATAAAAAACAGAAACGCACAGTTATTAACACCTTAGTCAACAGCGTTAAGGATATGTGAACCAAGATGCATCAACGATGAAATGAAACACCTGACAACAGTGTTACAAGCAAACGGATACAGCAAAAAAGACAAAACCGGAACCAAG